AAAAAAAAAAAAAAAAAAAAAAAAAAAAAAAAAAAAAAAAAAGTGCTGCTCCTCTATGTCAATCACCCTTGACAAGGATATTTTAAATAGCTGATGAACAGTAATCAGCTAATTGAAGAAAAATCAGGCTGCCCATTGGAAGATACCTAATGTCTCACTGTAGAAAAGAGAGACCAAACAACCAAACAGCAATCAGTACAGACAGTATGAGAGAAAGATGAGACTGTCCCTGTCAGCAAATGCCTCCCAACCAAGTCACAGCAACCCAAAATGGCCAGCAGCCAAAGCCCTGGATGATCCAAGCAAGAAGAGCAAGCTTCAGAGACTGTCTCTGCTACTATAATTTATCAGCTCTATTTTCTGAGTCAGCCCTGTGTGGAGCGGAAGGATCTTCCTCTCTAGTTCACATGAAATCCTCTGAGATCAGTTCTCATAGGTACTATACCAGGTGGGGAGCCTGACTAACTACGTCCTCAAAGATCACACAGCTAGTGAAGGAAGGGCCCAGAGGGCCAGAAAGGGGGTGGTTAGCTCCATGATAGAGGACCTACCTACCATAGGTGTGGGGGACCGAATAATTCTGTTATGGAATATTTTTGGGCCCAGTCTCTAGCTCCAGTAAACATGGAGCACCGGAAAGCTCCGGCCCACTATTTTATTGTTAATGCCAGAAAGGCTACTACTGTTTACCATGGCCTCAGGGTAATATGCCTCTTATTTGCATACCTATGCGCCTAAGCGTCTGAATAGGCCTGCACCTGGGCAGGGAGATCAGAGGTGGGTGAATAACTTGTGAGGATAGAAGGTTAGGAGGAGAGGTGAGCGGCCAGAGCATTGAGGGAACAAAGAGAGAAATGATTCCCTCGTGGTATTAGCAGGATGGTTAAGAAACACCAGAAAAGATGGCTAATAAAGAAATGACTCTAGTTCCACAACATGGAACTGAGAGCTCTCTAAAGATGACAAGATGCCTGTGTTTGATCTTTATCACCATTGGGTTGCTGGGAACTTCCAGGTCCACACACCTCCACTCATGAAGTCGATCCTCATGGCTGCCGTGGGTTAAAGCTGAGACAAGCCGGGTCAGAACACACAGGCAAGACCCTGGGCTCAATCCCTAGCCCCGAAAGAGAAGGGCCCAGGGGTGCCTGCTCTCCATCACCACATAGCCCAAAAGAAAGAGAAAGGATTTCAAACACAGAAGGAAATAACCACACAGCTTAATTTCTCACCCATGCAAAGCAGAGTGTGGTATCCCAGCACTTGCCTGGGATCCCAGCACTTGGCAAGCTAAAGTGAGAAAACTAAGGGTTCAAGGCCAGACCAGCCTGAGCTACTCAGAGAGATACTGTCTCGAAAGAGAAAATGGAGAAGTGGCAGAGCCTCCTCTGGGATCTGTAGCCTGCTAAGTGAGGCTGGTTAAATGAACCCACACATCAGATCTCTCTGTCACTCACCAACACAGCCACATCTGACTGCCAGGAAAACATGGCACAGGTCTGAAGACGCAAAAAGATTTGTTGGGTGAAATGAATGGCCATAGCCAGATGGCTTGAGTTCTAGAAGCTTCTATTTCCCCATCTACGAAGTGGGACCTCCAAGGCTCTAAGAGCATCATCCACAGGGGTGGACAGGTCACCACTACCCTATGTGCTGATCTGCGCTGTCATCTCCCTTGCCTGACTTCCGACTCTGAGCATGACACTCTCAGGGACAGGAAGCATACACCTAGGCTATTTTTTTGTCCTGTTTGTAACTCTGTCTCCACTCACATCCAGTCACTGTCAGCTGGGGAAATGACCTGACACCTAAAGTCAGGTACAGGTGCTGAGGACACACCTGGTCACTTCGGGCAACTCCGTAACGTAGTTCATTCACAAAGTGCTCGCAGTTCTCACTGGTCAGCTTGTAGTGAATCTCCTTCCCCACCAGCTCTTCAGCCCGCTGGATGATCTTGTTTGGAGGCAGTGGGGTGTATTCGCTGTCATGTTTGTTATTGACGTGGTACTTGTCCCCCCCGGCCACATCGCACAGCAGTTCTTTCTTCACTATGGCCTTGTCAGTCAAAGCAGACATGATGCTGGCTGCCCCAGCTCCTGCAAATTCACCTGTAGATCAAGGAAAAAACAAAAACAAAAAACCAGAGGAGTTGTTCCTGAACAGGGCCACAGGGATTCGATTGATTCCACCACTGTGCACCCAGGGTTATCACCATCCACAAGGGATGAGCAAGGTGGAAACAGGTGAGGCTTTAGAAACAGCTCTTATGCTCCCTGAACCATTATCAAGATGAAGACTATTAAGTGCCATGGTTTACTGTGATGTTTTAGTGGTAGCAGTGCTAGTGAGGGCGGTGGTCAGTTGAGGGGTGAGATAGGGTCACATTTAGTAATGCAGGCTGGTCTAATCTGGAAATTACTATATAATCCAGCCTGGTGTCAAACTCTCAACAGCTTCATTTGTGGTCCATATGCTGGGATGACGGCATGCACCATCACCCCTGGCTACTGGAGTGTTTCTTTAACTAGGAGAAGCTGTTCTTCTGCACTGTAACCACTTCTTGACTCTGCATATATGTGCCAGGAGCTCCCTTATCTTTCTAGGAAAAGAGAATGTAACCTATTGATTCCATATGGGCTACAGTTCCTTGACCTCACCAGGTTGATGGCCTCAGGAAGCGAGGCTGGTCTTCTAGATTCCCACCCTTCCAGGAAAAAAAAGAGAGAGACCAAAACTCTCCAGCTATTCCCCAAAAAGAGACCCAGAGAATGTGGTGCCAGCCCTGGCCAAGGTCCGCAGGTGAGAAGAGACAACAATGGCGTGATTAGAAGAGGAGGAACTTGCCTTCTGTAGGACCAGGCTGGGCAGTGATGCTCAGATGACACAGCACAGAGCCAGGGTCTCCTAACCCCAACACCCATACCATGGGGAGTGAGCACTGGGTATGATGCCTGGAAAGGACCTATACACACAAGAAGTGTACCCAGGAGCCCATTGAGCATCACAAGACTGCTTCCCTGCCAGAAGCAGGGCCTCCTGGGTACAGCAATGGCACCCTGGTAACCAGGACAGGACCGGTCTTTAAATGTGACACTGGGAGAGTATCAAGCAATGACTGGAAAGAAAAGTGCAGAGGCCAAGTGATCCTTCTTCCATGAAGTTATAGAATAGGCTGACCTCTTCTGGAACATAAAACACTTGAACCGGGCATGATGGTACACTCGCTTGATCCCAGAACTCATGAGACAGGCAACCTGATTTACAAAAATGATGGACCAGCCTGACTCCATCCTAAGATTAGGAGACATCTTGTTACATAGTCAAAATAAGTTATTCTTGTTTTCTGTAAATCTTGGGTTTGACCATGTATTGACCCATTTTCTGGAATCTGTCATGTTCTACACCCTACACTCAGACCTCCACCCTAAAAGGATAAGATGTTCTGCCAAATAATTTTAAGATGTTCAGCCAAGTTCTTTCATTACCAAAATTCCTCTAGAAACCTCCCAACCCTTAAAAACCCACCAGCCTTGCAGTTTTGGGGAGTTATATAAATCTCACCATCTCCTGTGTTCAATGCTATTTTCTCAAACTCCACTTTAGGGGGACGGACCTATCTGACAGAAAACAAAGCTTGCTTAATTTGACCAAAGAATTTGTTTAATGGTCTTTACTCTCATTCTGTGGGATTAACATAAGGAATTCCAGACCACCTAGGATGACATAGTGAGACCCTGTCTTTTGTTTTGTTTTGAAACAGGATCCATGTAGCCCTACCTGTCCTGGAACATTCTATGTAGAACAGGCCTTGAACTCACAACAACAGAGATCTGTTGTTTTAGCTTTTTGGCACTATAGCTGCACTTTAACCTACTGCTATTTCAGGCAGCAATTTCGAATCCGAAATTATTGGCCTGCTTCTCTGGCAGTGGCTAGGCCACTCAGGCTACAGCCTGGCGGGAATTCTGTTCCCACAGGCACCAGCTCTGCCACTGCCACTAAAGGTAGCTTTAACTAAATCCCTGTCATTCTATTTATAAATAAGACTCAAAATTCAGAGGCTGGGGTGAAAACCTGCTAGCTCAGAGAGGTTCAGTAACAACTAGCTAACCTTCTCTCCTTGTTGTTATCTCCCAAAGAGTGCATGCTTCTGCTCTGCCAAACAAAAAAGCCACGCTACTCCAAATTCCTCCCTATTCCTTCCAGTGCGTCTATCTCTTCCAGATGCCCTCTGATGCTCTATGATCACTTTCTGTCAACTAGTTGCTAACTCAGCCTCCTGACCCAAGGTTAATTTTATTTAATTAATGCAAATGCAAACGGGGTTTACAGTGTGATTGAATATCCCCCAACAGATCTGCCTGCCTTTGCCTCCTAAGGGCTAGTGTTAGAGGAGTGCACCACTATGCCCACCTAGCCATGAGACCCTGTCTTAAAAAAATTGAAAACAGCTATGTGTAGCTGTCTGTAGCAGGCCTGACATAAGACTGAGCCTATCAATAGTTACTTATGGAGTAGGGAGGAACTCACAGGTCTCTACCCTCCCTGCTGAATTATTGACTATTGGTGGATCTAGGGGCAGAGCAGTCATTGTCCTATGTTGTGTACCTACTGATGAACCCACCAGGCTCCATCAGATAGTTCCAAACCCAGGGTCACACAGAGGACCTTGGTTCAAAAAAAAAAAAAAAGGCATAAATGTGGGAAAGGGATTTGTAGGGGGCAGTGATAAGGGTGGGACCAGAGAGGGCCAGATTACATCAATCAGGATGCACTTTACACAGGATGACACTGTCCAAGAACAAATTCAATAAAAAAAATTATAAAGAAAGAAAATTAAGCAGAGTCATGCCTAGATGAACACCTCAGCCTCTCTACAAAGGCCCCCTGTGTAAATGTTACAGCTCTTAAGGGGAAAGGTTTCCCCAGTGCAAGTATTACAGCTCTGAAGGGAAAAGTATCCTGGCAGTTGGGAGTCAAGGAATAGCACAAAGTCACAAGGCACAACAAACCTCATACAAGAGATTTATCTGGAAGGAAAAACCCCAGAGGATGGCTGTCTCTGTTCCTGCAAGAAGCAGCAGAGAACTGAACAGAAGATATGGTTCATATAGGGTTCCTTGGGAGATGGAGCTTTCCAGGGCTGATACTTGCAGGGGTTGGTGGGATTTCCAGTTCCCAGCTTGGGCTTTTCACTCTGTAGGGCAGAGCTTGACAGCCTGCATTTGGAGGGACTGGTTCCAGCTTTCACATACCTTAGAGTGTTCTGTGGGCAGAGCCTAGCAGTTGGAGGTCCTCAGGGGCAGGGCCTGGCTATTCACAGGCCTTGAGGGGCTTACACCCTGGGGTCTAAGGAATAAAGCTCAAAAACCATCCTGGCATGTCAGACTGCCTTCACACAAGGATTAGAAATGAATGGCTAATCAAGGATCAAGGAGAACCCAGGGACCACCTGTTGCCCACAGCATCACACATCCTTTCCCAGCCCCTATGCCCAGCACAAGGAACACCCTGGTGTTCTTACTTGGGGGAGCCAAGTGGATCACATATCCATCACCGACATAGATGGCCCAGTGTTTGTACATAGGACGGAAAATCTCAATCAGGTCTCCAGGTTTTGGTTCTGGCTGCAAAACCAAGAACAAGACTTTTAGTGATGAGACCAGAGCAGGCTGGACTGAGAAGGTGCAGCTCCTTAGTCCCACCAATCAGCTCCAGTAGGCAAACCCATGTGGATGCAGGCCCTGCAGGTCTGATGCTGGCTTTGAAAGACCCCCCGCCCTTAGCTTTTTCTTTTAAGTTTGCCTCCTCCTCCGGTCGGCAGCTGGCGGAGCGCGCGGGGAATACATCCTCCTCTGCACTCCCCGACCCTTGATCCCCACAGCTGCCGGCTCTCACTTCCCCGCTGCCGAGCAAGGCCAGCCCCAGCCCCTGCCGGATCGCTCCGTCCCAAGGTCAGTCATCTGGACTCGGCAGAAGATAAAGGCCGTTTTGCCTGACTACTACTGTGCCTTTTTCCCCTATAAAAGGACCCCCCTTCCGGGGCTCGGGGCTTCCCCACCCCCATCCCCACATCAGTATGCCATGATTTAAAACTTCAAAATGAGAGCTGGGGAGGTGTCTCAGCAGTTAAGAATGCTCACTGCTCTTCTGGAGGACCTGGGTTAGGTTCCCAGCACTCACATGGTGGCTCACAACTCCAGTTGCCAGGGGATTCTATGCCCTCTTCTGACCTCCACAGATACTGCATGAAGGTGGTACACATGAATACATGCATGTAAAACACTAATGAACATGAAATAAATCTATAAAAGAAACCTACAAAATGCCTGATACTACAAATCTGGTCAAAAGTACGTAGCTCAGAAGGTCACAGGCTCTAGCAGAGGACATACTACTGTTGTTTTCATAACTTTCTTCCAAATACTTGTGTTCATGCACATAGATAGAAGCTTCTTCTGCAGTGGGCAAAAGTCAATGCAGAGACTGGTAACTTGACTGAGTGCTAAGAATAAGCAGCTATTGAGTGCTCAGCCCTAATGGGACATCTATGTTACCACCAAGCCACCCACCCAAGGTTCAGGGAATGTGGCCAAAGAACCAGAGGATGGAGAAGAGTGCTGTTGTCATGGCTGTAGCACTCAGGATCACTGCACCTGTGTAAGACTTACACAAGAGCAAGGGGACAAGACCAGTCAGCATTCCAGCAGGCAGCACTAATTAGATTTAGTGGGTTACAAAAAACAGAGAAGAAAGCCGGGGCATTGGTGGCGCACACCTTTAATCCCAGCACTCGGGAGGCAGAAGCAGAAGGATCTCTGGGAGTTCGAGGCCAGCCTGGTCTCCAGAGGGAGTGCCAGGATAGGCTCCAAAGCTACACAGAGAAACCCTGTCTCGAAAAAAAAAAATCAAACAAACAAACAAAAAAACTCCAGAAAGACAAAGAAAAGGCAGGGAGAAATAACGTGAAGGAAAGAAATGGTGGTGTTGGGGGAATGTCAAGGGGAAGTTGGAGGCAGATATGACCAAGATACATTGTATACATGTATGCAACTATTAAAGAACAAATAAAAGACATTCCTTAAAAACTGCAAAGCTAAAAGCTACAAATATCTTGCTACAAATATCACTCACTGAACTCCTGCTCTAGGTGCTGAGGCAGGATGATCAAGCATTTCTGGCTAAGAGGTAGGCAGATCTCTATGAGTTTGTGGCCAGCCTGGTCTACAGAGCTAGGTCCAGGACAGCCAGAACTGTTACAGAGCTGTTTCTCCTGTCTTGGAAAAAAAAAAAAAATTCCAGGCTAGGGTAAAGAAATGGCTCAGCCGTTAAGAACACTGACTGGTCTTCCAGAGGATTCAGATTCCGTTCCCAGCACCCACAAGGTGGCTTACTGCTGTCTAACTCCAGTCCAGGGAGACCTAATGCCCTTTTCTGCCCTCCCTCAGGCACTAGACACCCAAATGATACACAGACATATATGCAGCTAAAATACCCATACACATAAAATAAGTAAATAATTTTTTAAATGGCTTCTGTGCTAGCCTGGGCCACATAATGAGACCCTGTCTCAAACCTCCCTCCTCACCCCCCAACTCCAAAAAAAAAAATTATTACAATGTCAAAAATAAAACATTTAAAATGTAACAGTCCAGTCTGCAAAATATTTAGTTATTTATAAAACAATAAGTAAAAGGTCATAACCCAAAGCTATATGCTGTATAGTTTTTTTATGTGACATTGCAAAGTAGGCATAAATATAGGATAGAAAACTGACCACCAATCCTGAGGGGCTGAGGTGAGGACAGGCACCACAAGAAAGGAAGAGGGAGTATTAGGGTCATTAAACTGCCGTTCTACAGTTCTCCTGACTCTTTCCGTTTCTGCCTTGTACACAATGTAATGTAATCACATTCCCCACCCCCACTTCCCTCTCTTGTCCCCTCCCCTTTCCAGATGACCCCCTTTGTAGCCCCAGCTAATCATTTTCTATTTCCTTGTCTTCATTTTGTGCAGATCTCATGCAGGTGGTCACAGCTGCTGTGTGTTCATGGCATGCATTACACAGTGGCCATGTCATATTCAAAGACGGTGCTCCGAAGCACTCCTCCCCATCCTCTGGCTTTTCAGTCTTTCCACCCCTTCTTCCTCAACGTTCCCTGGTCCATAGAGTGAGTGACGTAGCTATCCCATTAGGATTGAGCACTCAACAGTCCCTTATCCTCAGCACTTGGGCCAGTTATGAATCTCTCCTTTGGCTGTCACCCAGTGACTTAAGGCTGTGAGTGCATCTGTCCTGACTGTCACCCAGTGACTTAAGGCTGTGAGTGCCTCTGCTTTGTGCCTTGATTAGGGAGGGCAATGGTTCACTTATATGTGTTTATCAAAACGGAACTACATACTTTAAAAAGTAAATTATATATTAAATTTGAGATTTGGTTTGGTTTGGTTTGGTTTTTGAGGCAGGGTCTCACTTAGCCCAGGCTGGCTTGAAACTTGCTATGTAGCTGAAGACAACCTTGTACCGATTCCCTACACCCACCTCCCAAGCATTAGAATTTCTGTTGTGCATCATCAAGCTTTCCCTCTTTATGCTGTTTTGTTTTGCTTTGCTTTGTTTTGTTGTTTTTCAAGACAGGCTGTCCTGGAACTCATTTTGTAGATGAGGACTGCCTCTGCCTCCCAAGTGCTGGGATTAGAGGTGTATGCCACCACTGCCTGGCTCTCTTTATGCTGTTTTAACTGGAGTTATTATCTTTCCCATATTATTAACTAATTAAATTACACGTTAATTTTTTAAAATAAAAATCATCTGAGGGTAGTACTACACACATTTATTCCCAGTACTTGAATAGCAGGTGGACCTCTGTGAGTTCAAGGCCAGTCTTTTATACATAGTGAGCTCCAGGCCAGCCAGGATTACATAAGGACCCTGTTCTAAAAGCAAAACAAAAGAAGTAATAATGAAGAACTAGAGAGAATGTTTGGAGGTTAAGTACCTTCTGCTCTTGCAGATAACCCAATTTCAGTTCCCAGCATACACATCAGGCAGCTCACAGTTGCCTGTAACTTCAGCTCCAGGATCTGACACTGTCTTCTGGATTCCATAGGCCCTGATCTGCAAGTTTATAAGTTTTGTATACTTTATAAATAAGTGTTCTTTCTCTCTGCAACAGCAGGGAGACTGTAGTCTGCTAATCCTAAAGTGTTGGAGCTGGGAGATAACTCAGTAACTAAAGTGCTTGCTTTGCCTGACATCCATTTGAACCCTAGCATCCACGTGAAAAAGTCAGACATGGTGAAAGTCAGACATGGTGATGTGTGCTTTCAATCCCAGCACTGGGGAGGACACATGGAGACAGGTGAATCTCTTGGGTTTGCTGTCCAAGCAATCAAGCATACTTGCCAGCCCACTCCAGGCCAATGAGAGATGCTGACTCAAAAAAAAAAAAAAAGACACTGAATGTCTTAGGGTTTTTTGTTGTTGTGAAGAGACACTGTGATCACAGCAACCCTTACAAAGAAAACATTTAACTGACACGGCAGCTTACAGTTTCAGAGGTTCAGTCCATTATCATGACGGGGAGCATGGTGGTGTGCAGGCAGACGTGTTGTTAGCTGTATCTTGCCCAGAAGGCAGCAGGAAGTCTACTGACTGTCACACTGGGTGAAGCTTGAGAAAAGACCTCAAAACTCACCCCCATAGTGGCACACTTCCTCCAACAAGACCACACCTACTCCAATAAGGCCGCACGCACCTCCTAATGGTGCCACTCCCTTTGAGGGCCATTTTCTTTTCTTTTCTTTCCTTTTCTTTTGTAGTTTTTATGGTTTTATTTAAACACAAATAAAACATCCACACCAGCCATGTACTCATTTTTCTTTGCTGCGTAGCCTGGCGTTGGAATTGGAGACTCCGATGGCCAGCTGTGCTGCTCTTTCTAGGATGGCTTTTCAGTTCTTGGAGGAAACACTGTCAGCAATCTCAGCACTCTAAGATTAGTTGCACAGCAACAGCACTTCCAGCTCCTTGACATTGTGGACCAGAAACTTCCAGAAGCCACTAGGCAGCACATGCTTGGTTTTCTTATTGCTCCCATAACCAATGTTGGGCATCAGGATCTGGCCCTTGAATCTTCTGCACACCCTGATGTAGATACCTCTGGGTTTCTGCCAGTTTTGCTTAATTTTGACATCAGTCTGACCGGTGTGGAATGAACTTCTTGGTCCTCTTTTTGAGGATCTTTGGCTTCACCAAAAGCCAGAGAGCACCCAGGATGCTATGAAAAAGATGGCAGCCACCTCTCAGGTAGCACCAAGGAAGGGGGCCCATTTTCTTTCAAACCACCACACCAAAGGAACAATATCCAAGACTATTGTTGTGGAGTTCTGTGGAGGTTTTAAAGGCACAAACCACAATTGTCTCAACTCTGGAGATTTCTTTTGCTACATGAGGCATTATTATGTTTTGATTTGTTTTTTGTTTTTGTTTTTGTTTTTCTGAGCGAATAGCAGTTAAGTGAGATTACAGGAGCAGAATGAGTGCCTGATTAATATTTTAGGAAAATAATTACACAATAAGGAGGACAATTTTGGGAAATGAAACAGGTGGCTCTGAGATCAGTCTCCTCTTAGATTGCTGTCAAGATTCAACTGATGATGGGTGGTGGTCTAGACATCCTGTGGCTAACAATCGGGCTAAGAAAAAGGTCCTGCTGACTTGTAGGTTTTTTCACAGTAACTAGTTTGAAACTCAGTTTGAAATGGAGCTAGTTTTTGAACATTACATTATCTTCTAGCCTAGGAACAATACATACAAACACATAACACACACACACACACACACACACACACACACACACACAATTTTTTAGATTTATTTATTTTATGTATGAATCCTATATTTACTTGCACACCTGCAGGCCAGAAGAGGGCATGAGCTCCCATTATAGATGGCTGAGAGTCACCGTGTTGGTGCTGGGAATTGAATTCAATACTTCTGGAAGACACAGTGCTCTTAATTGCTCCAGCCCCACAAATAATTTTCTAAAATATCTAAAGTGGAGAGGAGTCAGTGGTTAAGAGTACTGACTGCTCTTCTAGGGGATCCAGATTCAATTTCCAGCATCCACATGGCAGCTCACAGCTGTAACTCCAGTTCCAGGGCATCTGGCATCCTCATACATGCAGGCAAAATATCTGTGCACAAAAAATAAAAATAAAGTTTAAAAAAATCTAAAGGATTCTTGCAGGTCACCCATGTTTGGTCTAGAGTACAAATATGAGGGAGCTCAGAGTCACCTGTAACTCCAGGACCAGGGGATACTAGCCTCCTCAGGTATCTGGGTTCATGTCATAGATACACACACACACACACACACACACACACACACACACACACACACGCACACATGCACACTCAAGAATAAAATACATCTTTTTAAAATATAACCTAGCTGGACGTTGGTGGCTCACACCTTAATCCCAGCACTGAGGAGGCAAAGGCAGGCACATCTCTGTGAGTTCAAGACTAGCCTGGTCTACAAGAGCTATTACCAGGACAGCCTCCAAAGCTACACAGAGAAACCCTGTCTTAGAAAACAAAATAATAATAATAAAATAACCTAAAGTACTTGTTATCTACCCTTGTACAGAAAAAAAAATTGATGGACCAGCCTGACTCCATCTTAAAGTTAAAAGCCATTTTGTTATGAGGTCAAAATAACTTGACCAAGTTTTTAGCAGGTTTCTGGAGTTTGACACCCCCACCACCACCCTATGGAGTTTGACTCATACTTCAGATACATTCTAGCCTAATAAGACGTTCTGACTGAGAAGTGGTTGCATATACCCTAATCCAAGCACTTGGGAGGCAGAGGTAGGAGGATCTCTGTGAGTTCAAGGCCAGCCTGGTCAATAAAGAGAGTTCCAGGACAGACAAGACTACACAGAGAAACCCTGCCTCACAAAAACAAACCAAAAAAAAAAAAAAAAAGTTCTGCCAAACTGTTCTTTCAAATAATCTAATCTGACTGCTTTAAAATTGCTAGCCAAATCTTTACATCACCAAATCCCTTTGAAAATCCCTGGTTTACACTTTTTCCTATAAAAGAGGCCTGAAAAGTTAACTCATGCTAGTCTCTCAAACCCCACTTTAGAGAGTCAGTCAGTCCTAGGCATAGCAAATAAAGCTATCTTATTGGCTTTAATTTGGGAGGTAGTTTTTATTCTGGCTTGTTAGGATCAACATTCTTGGAGGCCCCATAGAGATTAGAGCCCAATCCAAACTCACAGACCCCTCCCTCTGGGACTGCTTCCACTTGGGGTGCATACCTGATGAAGTTTATACTAAGAAATCCCCTTCTGTGACATCTGGTACTGGTTCTGGTGCGCTACTGTCTGAGGACAGAGAGGTACCTGATGAGGTGCACGAACTCCTGTCCAGGTCACAAGTGAGACATCTTTCTGGCCATATGGGTTTTGTTTGCTTTTGGGAGTTTGGGGTTTTTTTTATTTGTTTGTTTTGGGGGGTTTTGGTTTTGATTTTTTGGTTTGGTTTGGTTTAGTTTTTTGGCACCTGGTTCTTGGTCCCCCTGTGTCTTGTTCTGTGTTTTGTTTGTCTTTTCTGTTTCTTTACTATAAGTCTTCCATGGTTTGAGTTTTCGGCAACCGGGCAGAGAAACAGAATGGGTAACAGGACTGGTAACCCTGACACTCCTTTAAGTTGTGTTTTAAGAAACTTTGACAAACCTTACCCTCCTATGACTAAGCAGAATTGTGATTTTCCTGTCGCCAAAGATTGCCTCCAACCTTTCTGGGAGCTGAAGGGGCTTACATTCAGTGTTGAACGGCCCCCAGAGGCATCTTCAGCTCCTCGGGAGCCTGGGCAGTGGCCAACACCACCCTTGGTATTCCTCGATACATCCACCCGATTGGGAATACTCTCCCCTGGGCAGAGGCAACATCCAATCTGCCCATGGGTGGAGATTTATACAGTCTGAATGGACAAGGTGGCCAAGCCCTGGTCATAGCAAGGAAGACTCTCCAGATACTGCTGGCTGAGGACCAAAAGCCCTCCAAAAATCCTGTGCTATGGGCTCTCAGGAGGACCCTCTCCTTCCCCCATACACTCCTCTTTACCCTCCACTGCTCCCACGTCTCCAGAGCCCATTACCTCCTCCTTCTCCCACCCCTCAGCCTTTCCAGAAGTCACCACACTCAACTACTCCTTCTGCTCCAGCTCCCCCAGTGGAGCCGCCTTGTCCTTTCCTCTTCATACCAGTCAGGGCAATCCCAATGGGTGACCTTATTCAGTTTCCTGCCCCTGGCCAGCCTGAAGCTTCTGTTTCCTCTCCTATCCCCAAGCAGAAGCAACTCCAGATTCAGCCTCCTCCCACTGGCCAACCAGCGACTTCTATTTCCATTTCTATGCTCAAAACAGAAGGACTCCAGTCCCAGTCCTTCCTCTCTGCCAGGCACCTGAGGGATGATACCTGGGTGTTCCATTACGACAATACAGCCTGACAACTGGAAACCAGAATCCCTGCTTCAAAAAAGACCCTAATATTCTGACTTTCCTGATTAATTAATTCTATTTTCTTTAACCATCTCCTTTAACCACTGACGATGACAGCCAACAAATTCTCCACACTCTCTTCACTAAGGGAGAGAGCAAATCCTAGCAGAAGCAGCTAAGGAGCTGCCCGAATAGGCACTCTTGATAATGATCTGAGAGTGGCAGCGATTGATGAGGAGACCAGACTGGGACTATGGGACAGAAGGAAGTAGGAAGCCACTCAGTGAGTACCACCAGATTCTGCTGGATGGCCTGAGGTTGACGGCTCACAAACCTACTAGTCTGTCTAAAGAAGATGATGTAAAACAGGGCTTAGAAGAATTGCCTGGAAGTATACCTGCTATATATACTTCTATAGATCTAGAAGACCCAGAAAACCTCAAGACAATTAACCTGGCCTTTGTAATTCAGTCAGCCCCAGATGTATGTAAGAAAAATCCAAAAGATGGATGGATTTGCAGGAAAGAATTAGTCAGAATTATTAGAAATATACCAAAAAGTGTTTGACAATAGAGACAGCTAGGAAAATACTCTAAAGAAATCAGGCCACTGTGGCAGCACTATGCGCTCCTGGCACTTTCAGCCACAAACAAGCCACCTACAAGAAAAAGAAAAAGGCCTTACAAAAGTACAGTTGTGCTTACTGCAAGGAATTGGGACCCTGGAAAAATGAATGACCCCAGTGAAAACGGATAGGCCTTCCCTGGCCACAGGTAAGCATTCCTCAGCCAAAACCAGTCCTGATTGAAGAATTGGGCAGGGGGGACTTTCAATTTAGGCTCCTGGGAGCCTATGGTAACTTTCTCAATTGAGGGACAACCTGTAAACTTCTGCTAGACATGGGAGCATTACATTCTGTATTACAGAAGCCCCGGGACCCCTTGATAAAAGAACAATATAAGTACAGGGGCTACAGGGAGAATTAAAAAATATAACTGGACTACAAAACAGACTGTAGTTTTTATTTTCATTCAGTGGGATCAACAATTTTCTGTTATAAAAGGACTCATGGTGATCCCAGTAACCCAACTGAATGCTATTGCATTCTGCTTACGGAACATGGATTGGATTAGCAGAAAGTCCTCTTAGATGCAGGAACAAGGCTGCCTTTTCCAGAATGGGGCTCAG